TTTTATCGTTCCACGTAATAACAGAGATAAATTCTCCCTATGGATAGCAACTGCTCATATTTCATAAGACTGATTCTGTCAGATGCTGAGCCTCTGGCAGCACTTTGCAGACTTGAGCCACGGTGATCCAGACAAATCCTATTTCCTTAGTCTCCTGACACAATATTATTGTCAAATCTTTGTCACTGTCGCTGTCCCTATGCCTGTCGTGCCATGTCTGCAATTTTCATCTGAAAAATACATTGTAATGGTAAAGGTGACCCTTCCATTCTACTCTGTATCTATTGCCAGTACACGTACTATTTTTGGCATGAAGCAGATTCCTGGGAAAACACCATTAAAATTACTGTAGCTATTGCATTTGTGTCCATAATTATTTCTCTCAAGCTTGTAAGCTGTGCAGAGTACAAGTACAGAGTACAAGTATTTGATTATTTGGACGTGAGGAAAAATTTCTGTACTCAAAGAGTGGTTAAACATTGGAAGAGGCTGCCCAGGGAAGTGGTGGAGTCACCATCCCTGGAGGTATTTAAAAGACGTGTAGATGAGGCGCTTAGGGACATGGTTTAGTGGGCATGGTGGTGTTGTGTCGATGGTTGGACTCGATGATCTTAGAGGTCTTTTCCAACCTTAATGATTCTATGATTCTATGGTTGTCTCTGATTCTGTGTTGTCCTGGTTGAGATGAGTTTCCTAAAACACTATGTCTTTCCTCCATTCTTTCATCTGTTTTATCTCCTTTAATCTCTCCCTTAATTTCCGTTTCTTTTTTAGCTTCTTTAATGATCTTTTTGATATGCACAAGGTACCTCTCAGTGAAGACCTGTCAACTGTTTGGGCTGTCAGTGGGTATGATAATGACTCCTTCTTATTTGGCCTTTGCCTCTGCAGGTTCAACAGTATTTGATGGAGAACATAGACGCAGCCTCTCACAACGTATTTTTCCAAGGTACTGAGGAAAATTATACTTGTTTAATTTTATTTTTATTTTGTTGGAGATTTTGTAAAATCCCTTTTGGGCCACTTAGAATTGTAGTGCTGATATTAATTTAATTACTGCTTTAAATGGAAGTTCAGAAGTACTGCTATGGAGTTTGGAAGCACTGGCTTTGCAATTACAAGGTTTTGGAGTATCTCTGTTCCGCCTGCTTTCCCCTCCACTGAAATTATGGTATCCCTCTGTGACATGCCATATGGGATAGTTAAACCTGCCACTGAAACCCATGTCAGCCACTGAATCAACCCAGTGTCTTCCTTTCTTTCCATGGATGTCACTGCATGGCCACGTGGAACTCAAAGGTGTTGAGGAGAAAGGACTCACCATAAATCCCATTTTACTTGAGCTGAGTAAAATGTCTACAACATTGAGATTCTTTCAGCTCTGTCACTACTCACTTCTATTTTAAATACTGCATAGTATATTTTCCTGTGCTATATTTCATCTCAAAGTCAATTGTATTTCAGTGCTGGATGTAGTTATCACCAATGTGTAGACTTTATCCCGTGTTGTTCTAGCTGCATGGTACTCTAGGATTTGTGAGAATTAAAAGTCATGTATCCTTAAATCTTCATTAAGTATGGCTAGGTTATAAAAAGCAAATAAATCCTGCCTGGTTCAGAGGCACTCAGGCTTGTGCCATGCAGAGAAACTCAGGGAAGCAAAATACAGGAATACCTCTGATGGCTCCAGGTAGGTGTAGATCTGGCAGGACTCCTTGGCCAAGGGCACTGCCTCAGAAATACACCATGCACTTCTCAATTCAAGCTGGCTCCTTGCATTCACGAAATGCTCCACCTGGCATGAAGCCCTCCTGTAATCTGAAGCTCTGGAAAGTGTGATGGAGGCACACTCTAGCCAGCTGAAACCCCCTAGGTCCAGAAGGAATATCATTATATCCACACATTTTAAACCTATGTCATTACTAGCGCCCATCAGCTGGTAATGTAAATTCATTATTATTAAATCATGGGTTTGCGCTGTCTAGACATTCACTAAATTAGAGGGTTTCATTTCTCCTTTTCAGTTATGCTTGTGCCTTTTTGGATGATGACGCTGCCTATGAGTGTTGTTCCACAAATCCTCTGACAGGCTCCCTTTCCACATGTCGCCGCAGCCCTCGACTGCTTTCTAATGGTTATTATGTTTTGACAGAAGACAGTTTTCTGTCTGATGAAAAGGGTAACATAACACTGACACCATCCCAGACAAGTGTTACATATAAAGAGAATTTAGTTCGGTAAGTGAGCTATATGCAGATTTTACTCCATGTTGGCAATTGGCTCCACATTTCTGAACTTATCTGGTGGTATCTGTGTGGCTGTCTACATTTTGCTTGGCACAAGATCAGCATTGCTTCTTAATGGGAACGTCTAAATTGATTTAGTTTAGAGAGTGCAGTGATTGAAATAACAACTTGATTTTCAGTCATGTCTAATCTTACTTACCCAAAACCTCTTCAGTACACAGTTGTTGCTGTAATTGGAGTTGTGTGCAATAAAGAAAAAGGAGAGCTACAGCTCATTTTGCCAATGGGGTGTCACCATGATGAGCAATAAGAAAAAGGAAAATATATATATATATATATATGCTCATATATATAAAAAAATAAAAAGGTCTGGTCCTGGAATTCTTACTCAGGGAAAAATCTCTCTTGATTTCAGAAGAACATCAGTTTAGGAAGTTATCTAAAATGTAGTTCAAAAAAGTTGAAGTACAGTGGATTCAGTCTGCACCAAAGGGGACACGGTAGGGTGAAACTCATGGGTAGCATGAGACCACTCAGAGCAGTATCAGAGCCCAATAACTGTAGTATCATTTGGTGTCACAATATCCAGTATCACAATGCAGGATATGTTGCCATGCTGCTCATACGTTCCTTGACATTACTGCAGTGTGCAGCAGTCATTCTTGGTGACATACCCAGGGTCAAGAACAGAGCTAGGAACAGCACCCAGAACCTGGTTCTTTCCTGTCAGTCCTGCAAGCTTTAGAGCTCTGCCCCTGCTCAACAAGAATAATTAACTCTGTTCCTTGAGAATGTGTCTTGTCTTTCTAGTGTATTCAGGCGAAGGAAGAAAATCCGTCGCTCTCTTGCCAGCTTGTTCAATCTCGGTGCCTCCAGTTCATGGCTCAGCAGCACCATCCTCAGCAATATGGATTCCTGCCATGTAGATGGTCCTTGGCCTGATGGCTGCAATAAACTAGAAGCCAGTCAGAGTGATATTGGTAAGCCCTGACCAGGCACCAAGTAATCGAGCTACAACTTTACAGTCTGTATTTAGTGGGACTTGGGTATCTCTTTCTATAGGTTTTGCAGGGGTTGTCTGCCAAGGTGTGCAGGTAAAGGATAGGAGAACAACAGAATTGTAAGTGGTGAACTGAGCTCCTGGCACTGAAACACAGTATGAGTCCACAAAGACCTTTGTGCCAAAAAGGCATTTTTAGACTGGATTTGAATCCAAATTCATCACCAGTGATGTTTATGCTGGTGTCATTAATATCTGGCACTGCCTGCTTTCACCTGGCTGTTTTGATAATGTCATTGTGTTACGCTCTATGCAGTTTTGTCTTTACATATTTTCTCCTGCATACATTGAACCTGCCAATTCCCTACCCCTAACAATTTGGAAACCTCCCTGTGATTAAGTAATTAATTTTTCCCCCCACAAAATTCATTAACACAAAGTCTCAAAGCTCTTCTTTTGTGCAATCTCAGTTACATATGCACTTTTTGTAGGTGATTCAGACTTTTCTTCTGAATATAATAGCCATGTGCCACAAAGGCAAACTCCAGCATCTAATGGAGCCTCTCTCACCAAAGATGACGAGTTTCTTCAGCCTGAGAGACCATTTTGTGCTTCAAAATCCTGTTCTCCATTTATGATAAATGCAAATGAAGAAACTTTGAGCAGTGCAGGTATGTTACATTCTTATTCTGCTCTGCCTCATTTGTAGAGTGAACTGAAAACACTCACATTAAAAATATTGATATGGCCCCTTGAAAAAATCGAATTTATTTCCTGAAACATACATTTTAAATAACTGATTAAAAATAACAAAATCTTAAAATTGATATTTACTTGTTTTCTCCTTCCTGCTCACGTCTTTTCCTCTCCTATTTTCAGTGATAACTGGAAAAAGAAAAAGGTGGAGTGAAGAGGAAAATGGAGGAAAGGGCATGGGAACAAACACTGAGACAGGCAATTATTCAGAAAAGCTTGTTTTCTGGGAGCATGGAGGGCACAGTGTCTCTATGGCCGTGGGGGAAAAAGACTCCTGAGAGACACCCAGAGCATGAAAATTAGGTTTCCGCTTTGAATCACTCTAGGCAAATTCTCTTAGAAAGAAACTGAAGAGTCTGGCCTCACAGGCTGAAGGTAGTCTTTGCAAACACCTCCTGTCATATATTTACTTTCCTGAAAACTCATGAAAATTATTCTCCTGCTTTTTGTTTTAGAATCCAGGACAGTGCGAAATGTCCTTTCTCAGATGGTTGCACTGATCACGTGTTTAATCATTTCAATATGTACAAGGTAATTTTTATTTCTTTTATTTGTTGTTTCTGACATTAATGCTTACTCCATTTCAACTGGTGAATAAAACATAAATTAAGGATCACATTTTCAAAGTTAGATATATCTTATTATGAAAATATATTTTCACATGATAGTCGATGCAGGCAATTATCTGAGCTATATAGATATGCACAAAAATAAGAAATACGTACGCAGATATGAAAACTACTTTCTCAAGTGTGCTTGGACATAGGTTTTGAAAGGCTGAGAAGAATCAGAATGGATCCATGTCTTTCTAAGTGACTAGTATGGGTGTTTCTCAGTCTGGGAATCATGAGGTCTTTCTTTCTAGGAGATAATCCTCAATAGCTTAAGTAATTTAAAGTTTCAAATTGCAGTGCACCTACCAGAGTTCAGAGGGTTCATCTGCAAAAACCTTTCTCTTCTCCTCCCACCCATGCTTCGCCTCTGTTAACCCAATATGCATCCCTTGTTTTTTTAACCTTTATGGGTATTGTTATGTTCTCAGATATTTTCTGGGAGGACGGTCTGCCACTTTGTTGCTGATAATTTTAGTTTGTAAGTACAAACTTACTCTATATTCAACACACAAGATTTTACTAAGTCACATCTGAGGGCCAAAATCCATCCTCGGATGTATATCCACAGCTCTTATTGATGCTAATAGGAGCAATATGTGGGCATATGGGGACAGAATGTAACCTTCAATCAGTTACAGGATTTTGCATTTGAATTTCACAGTTCTTTTGTCCCAGGATGCTGCTGTGTCATCTTTCTTCAGTCTTGACACACCTTTCAAAACAACTAAGTTTTGGTAAGTGGCTCCAGTGTCATGTGATGAATAGAGGAATTTAGAAATCTTGTATTAAGAAGAAGAAGGAGAGATTCCTTCTGTTGTTTTCATGTTAAAAGATAGAAGGCATGATCTGAAGTTATTGATGGAGGATTCAGCTTTTCCTGTTACTGATTTGTATTCATAGAAACTTTCTGTTTATTTTGAAAAACTGCTTTTTCCTAAAGTGCAATAAATATTGTAACACCCATTTGTTAGCAGAAAAGGAAGGTAAACCTAATATGCCATAACATGAATATGCAGAGACAGACCAAGGGTAGTAACTTACTATGAATCCAGAGGTGTACTTTCAAGCCTTGCACTGAAGTCCACTCCCAAGCCACCAAACCAAGCCTTTTTTTTTTGACTGGAAAAAATAAAAACAGCTAACTATGGTGCTAGTCCCATCACCACCTTCCAGGGACTGCAGAATTGGTATGACTTGGCCCCACTAACCCAATGCACCATTAGATTCAGGACAGGGCTTTGCCTTTGGCTTATACGGTAGTCTGATAAATGTCTTAGAAGTATTAAATCAGTCTGATCAATTGAATAAAGGTGCTGACGTTGCTGTTTCAGACTGCTTTATTTCAAAGTTTTGCACAGAGCTGTAGCTTCTAAATCCTTCTGGAGAAAAAGACTTATGTATTTAGAAGGTCTGAATTATATCTTTAGAGCAAGCTCATACCTAGACCTCCATGCTGCAAGCATGTTTGTACACGCTGGATTTATGAATTACCATTCTTTCACTTTTTATGCAGCAGAAAAGTCTTCTGAGTGTGTAAAATCTAAAATGCTGCTAAGACTAAAAACTTTTGGGCTTATTTGAATTTTTATGTGGTGAAAGTGAAGCTCAAAAGGATATTGTTTGTTTCTGAAACTGTGTCAGGGTTCAGGAGTTCAATGTATCCCAAGGGCAACAAGACAGTCTGGCAGACCTCTTAGCCTTTGAATTGAGTATATTGGAAGTTAGAAACAAGAAGGCACAACTTGGAGAGCCATATTGCAATGATAGTCTCACGTTTTGAGCATCCAAGGGTCTTAGCACAATACCTCAGATACTCAAGGATGGTATGTTACACTTTGTCGCTATGTCATTATTCCCAATAAAATCAAGGCCACCAGGTTAGGACTAGAGCGTTCCAAATACATGCTCCAAAGCACTGCTTTCTGACTTCCTGAATAGTTTAGCCCTGAGTCATAAACAAAACAAATAGACTCTGAGAGCTTTTCAGTCACTGGTGTACAGAGAATACCTCTTTTATGCTCATCACAATTGAGAAGTTACCTGCTCAAACAAGCAGTCCTACAGCTTAACTAAATTTGGCAATTCAGAACCTACATAAATACTCATTATAACAAACTGTGGTTTAAATCAAGACATACAAAAATGTATGCTTTATTTCCCCCCTCCAGGAAATAATTGGAAAGAAAGAATAATTGGTAAGTATATGTTTAAATTTAGAAAGAAATCCATGCTTTTTGGGGTGAGCCCTATTATGAAAGGGGGTTCAAGCATGCCAGAAAGGTTCCCTGGACTTTTCATTAAAAGAAGGTTTAGCTGCGGGACCCTTGCCAGTTTCCACTATGAATTACTCCACTTTGCTGTCTAAACCTCCTTTTTCATTTTATTTGGATGAATTATTTTTTAATTGTTTGACAACAGTTGCTAAATAGTGTAAGCTGTTAAACAAATGCTGTGCTTCCGCCCAGAGAAAACATGTTTTTCAGTAACGGGCAAAGCAAGTCTTCCTTTTTCCAAGTTTGAACAGAACAGCAGGGCCAGGTGCTGTACTGCTCTAACTTGGTACCATTCCACTGAAGGAGTGAAGCAGCATCAACATTTATCAGTCCAGAATATCTGGAAAACACATGCAGATTCTTCTTTTCCCTATTCTTTTTCAGTTAAGCCTCATCCTCAGTCTCCAGTTTCTGTTTATCAAGCATTTCTAAGTCTTGGTGCAGCTCAGAACCCTTAAAACGAGCATAGATTTATTTGTACTTGGAGCTGGCCATCCCAGTCCTGGCTCCGTTATTTCCTTTATCTCTTTACTTTGAACAGATAAAAATGAAAAGAGGGAACTAAGTGGAGCTGTGCGCGGGTTTGTGTTCCTTATAGTGTGGATAAAACAGCCTTGTTCATCAGTTCGCTGGTTGAGTGCAGTTCAGCTTCTGAGATCTAAAGGCATCTGCACAGCTGCAGATGCAACCTGGAAAACCTTTCGGTCAGCCCTCAGAAAGAGGATGTTCATCCTGAGAACAAAGCATTTTAGAACGGTATGCAGGCATTTGATCACTTTGCAGACTTACTAAAGCCTATGATGAAAAATACATCCTACTCATCCAGCGTGCCAAGCAGTGGACGCTAGATCTGGCGCTTCCTAAAGTCAGTGGAACTGTTTATTTAAGGGCTGCAACACTTTAAAGTCAGCTTTAAAGCTGACTCTGATTTTGAAAGCCAGTATCAATATTAACCAAAGCAGGTACTACAGGATGGAGTGGAGAACCTGGGACTCGTTGCCTATCAGGAGTAAACTAAATATAGACTGGCATAGGTTACTGCGAGACAGGACCTCCAGCATTTCAAAACAAGCTTGTCTCTTGCCTTTCATAAAAACTTAAAGGCAGAGTAGTTACTTCTGTATATTTCAAAAGGAGTTCACTAACAGTTTTCATTTTTCCTCCTCCTCAAATTTATTTTCCTCAGCTCTTCAGCATCAAACTACTGGATACCTCCTTATGGCTACTGTTACACATGTTACCGTGGAAAAAAAAAAACAGAATTGTTAGTATTCTTCCTTCAAAATACAATTCACTTTACTTTTATTTTTGTTCTGGTCAAACTGTGGGTGAGGCTGTACTTCTTGGTGACTATCTGAAAGCAGTCATGCAAAATGATTGCTGTACCTCTAGTCTCTTACGTCAATGAAGTCCTACAAGCATGGGGTCCTTACAAGCATTTTGATAAGGAATTGATGGTAAATAGTGTTTTGCAATTCCCATTCAGTTTTTGGTAAACAGCTGACGTCTTCCAATACTTTATATATTAATTTCTTGTAACAACATGCTGGCAAAGATAATGGATTTGGATAGTGGCTGAGTACCTGCGGTAATATATTTCAGAAGCTTTATTGTATCATGTGTGTGCACTGCCTTGTGGCCTTTATGCTGCACATTAAGAAAAGAGAAAAAGAAGGAAGAAAGAAATATTATTGGAAGGAAAGCACTCTTCAAAAAGCCAGGAATCAGGATGTGGAGAAGCAATGATAAATCTGAATTACCTGGATTCACGTACAAAAATACGAGACCTGCAGGTATTAACTTTACTTTGGAAACACTGAGCCCTATTTTTCAGTTTGGATCTTTGCTACAACAGAGACTAAATTACACATAGAACCTGTGGGTAACCAAAAACTGTTATCTTGTTAATCCAAGCTTTTAATAATCTGCTTCTTAAAATATCTCCCTGTATGCTAGTTTAGCTAGGACAGCATGGATTTCATCTTCCCATGCAACAAAATGATGGCAATGAGCGAGGATGCTATTGCCCACCAAACCATTCTATAACTAGTGCTGCTTCTAGTCTACTTCTCCCCTGTTGTGGTAGACGCAACGCTAGCACAGCCCAGCTGGTAAATCAGACATGAAATGCTGCCTGTGGAAGGGCTAGGTCTGCCCATGGGGTACAATCAGGCTGGCGGGCATAATGACAGGGATTTGAAAACCCTGCAGCAAAAGCACACGAACGGAAGGTTCTGGTGGAAGAAAGAATCGACAAAACTGAACCACCGCTGTCTGTGCAACTCTGTCTCAGCCAAGCTCAAGCAGGTTATAGCTGTATTTCTAGCATCAGAAATCCAAACAAGTGATGCAATGAGGAAAAGGGTAGTTGAAATTAAGTTAAAATGTACATTTCTCTTTCAAAGTGTAAATATATGCCGGTTATATTTTGCAGATAAGCATCAATAGCTCAGCATTAAGAGCTCAGAGGGAAATTTCACCCAAATTACCAATTTTGCATAGTAATTTACTTTTGCCCAGTGCATTAAATTGACTTTATATGAAGACAGACCATCTGATGTAACAAGACCAGGTTTTATAGTTTCAATAAATGGTGACAATAGAATGTTCTTCTTCATCAAACTGATGTATTATGTAACTATAATAGTAGTTATAATACTCATCCTCATATTTACTTGTAGTTAATACACTTGAATAATTTTGTCAGTATTAAATAATTCTGCTTCTTTATTTACTTTAACTATGGAGACAACTGAGAGTAAATATCATTGTGTAATATGTATACATATTTTGTGTTACCTATTTTATTGCTAGTTATAACAGGTCCTTTACTAAATGCACTTTTTAAACTAAAGGATTATAGAAATCTTCAGTGTTTAAATGATCTCCTGGAAGTATAATCTGGAAGATGAAATGCTACACTGAGAGAAAAGTCTAAGACTGCAATTACCCTGCAGCCATCGAGGCGATTATGCTGAAAACTAGAAAAAAATGAGTTCACTGTAAACTAGTCAGTTCACTGTAAAGTGAAGAAAAAGCTGATTCAGTTTGCCAAGAATTTTGTCTAAAATGAATTGCTTTAATCTGTCTATGAATAAATATAAACCGTAAATTAGAATTTTTCTGATCTGGGGAGGGGGAAGTTCTGGGACAATTTGGCAATTGGAGTTCAAGGGCTAAAAATTACATGCTTGGGATCTGTTAAGTTCTGCCCTCTGTGATATTCATTAATGTTGAATTAACAAAGTTCTATTCAGTTACCAGACTGGCTGGCTTTGGCAGTTGCCTTCCATATATTCCAACGGACATAAAAGCAAGCCTTGTATTGTTTCTCTGAAAAGACGCACAATAATATGTTCAATCCTGTTGGATGAAAAATTGAAGCCAGGATCTGTCTGATGAAAAATTGAAGACGCATTTTCTAACCTAAATGTTGAAATCCAGACTTTCAGAGGTAATTAGTATTTGCAGCTTCTGTTAACTAGAGTATCAAGCTTAGGATAATTGTGAACTGTAATTCTAGCAAAGTAAATCCACTTGTTGATTAATGATTAATTGATGCATCTACAAACAGAGAGGACTACTAGAATTTTATGTTTCTGTCCCCAGTGATTAAACTCTTACTCCACTTTAATATAGCACCTTATTTAGAAAAAGAGAATCAAAGAAGAATTTCAAGATATGGATTTATGACCCCCTGTACATTATCTCATACCTTCCATTACTATTATTTTGTTGTCATTACGCCTTGTATTATACTCTCCCATTTCTTGCTGTGTTCAGCTGAATTTCAGGGCCATTCTTGAGTATATATCACAGAGTGCTTAATAGTGTGAATGTTCGTGTTGAAGGAAACAGCAGCAAGCACGATGATAATATTTATGGCATCCCTTAGCTTACAATGTTCCTAGTCTGTGAGCAAGTCTGTTTTGTATTTATCCTGAAAGCATTACTCATAGAAGCCAAACCATACAAAGATTAACATTTTTGAGTTCAATGATATGGGAAAACCACACTGGTATAGAATACAGGTATGCCCATTTAGTCCAGTTCTGCAGAATCTGCTCTTTGATGTATTTTTTGTGAATTAGCTGCAGTGTTTTGTAAACCCCTTTGTACATTTTAATATACACTGAGCAAAATTGTTACTTCATTTTATATTATTTCTTTTTTACGGTTTCTCATGCTGCTTTTTTTTTCCTTATCTCTGGCATTTACGTATCAGTAAAGTTGTTCCTGTTTGCATTTCTTCCTGTATTTGAGGGTGTTGTCAATAATGAAGACTATTATTAGGAATTGCATATATTCCAATGAATTTGTTATTTGTGAGCTATGTCCTGCCCTGTAGATTGTGTGCTCTTTGGGAAAGGATTTATTGGTACTTCGGTGTGAAAAATGAAAGCCTCATTTTGTTACAGTTACTAAATAACTGTTACCACCATAGAATATAATAATAATAACAGTAATGATAACAGTAACAACAATAACAAAACCAAAACAAATAATAATAATTTAATAGGAAATAAATAGAAATACATAGGTTCAGCTTCTAAGTGGGTATCAGTCAGCTGATTTCCACCAGCTAAGATTCTGACCTGCAGCATTTTAACAGCTTAAGATTTGTCCATGGACATCAATTTGCTAGGGCTGTAGCACCTTACATGAGTGTATACTGATGGAGTGAACACATATTCAAAATACTTCTGATTCACTGTAATAATAATGCTATAAAGCTTATTTTTGTCATGACAGAAATCTATTTTATATTGCATTGTTTTACACATTTAACAAATGAACTTGTAATGTGTTAAAGTGATAAAGTGAATTTCTTCAGGGAAGGCATGCCAGATGGGACCCTTTTTCTTCTTCCTCAACTCCATTCTCCTGTTCGTAATGTGGCTCATTACATTATCTCCGTCATGTATATTGCTTCAAGCTAAGAATTTGGGCTTGTGCTACTTAGAGGTCTTAGTACATAATTTGAGGGAAAAATAACTGCATGAAAATAATGAACACAATAAGGTCAATGTATGTAAATATAAACTTTTATTTAATTTGAAATATTTGAAATAAATGAATGCAAAAGTCTTTTGAGAAGTTGTACAACACCGGACCTGCAAGTTACACTGAATTTTGTATATGTATATTGTGTTGATGTTGTACGGGCTGCAAACATTTTGTTGCATGAAGCATATTGTAAAAGCAGCTATTACATAGGCCACCATGCTGCAAGCGTGTATGTATGTGCTGGATTTATGAATTATCATTCTTTCACTTTCTATGCATCAGAAAATTCTTCTGTGTGTAAAATCTAAAATGCTGCTAAGACTAAAAGCATTTGGGATTATCTGAATTTTTATGTGGTGAAAGTGAAGGTCAACAAGGACATTTTAGCAGGGCCTGTTGCGACAGGACAAGGGAGAATGGTTTTAAACTAAAAGAGGGTAGATTCAGACTAGAGATAAGGAAGACATTTTTTACGCTGAGGGTGGTGAAACACTGGCACAGGTTGCCCAGAGAGGTGGTGGATGCCCCATCCCTGGAAACATTCCAGGTCAGGTTGGAGGGGGCTCTGAGCAACCTGATCTAGTTGAAGATGTCCCTGCCCACGGCAGGGGGGTTGGACAAGATGACCTTTAGAGGTCCCTTCCAACCCAAACTTTTCTATGATTCTATGAGTGTTTCTGAAACTGTGTCAGGGTTCAGGAGTTCAATGTATCCCAAGGGCAACAAGACAGTCTGGCAGACCTCTTAGCCTTTGAATTGAGTATATTGGAAGTTAGAAACAAGAAGGCACAACTTGGAGAGCCATATTGCAATGATAGTCTCACATTTTGAGCATCCAAGGGTCTTAGCACAATACCTCAGATACTCAAGGATGGTATGTTACACTTTGTCGCTATGTCATTATTCCCAATGAAATCAAGGCCACCAGGTTAGGACTAGAGCGTTCCAAATGCATGCTCCAAAGCACTGCTTTCTGACTTCCTGAATAGTTTAGCCCTGAGTCATAAACAAAGCTGTTCTTCACAAGAGGAAAACAAATAGACTCTGAGAGCTTTTCAGTCACTGGTGTACAGAGAATACCTCTTTTATGCTCATCACAAGTGAGAAGTTACCTGCTCAAACAAGCAGTCCTACAGCTTAACTAAATTTGGCAATTCAGAACCTACATAAATACTCATTATAACAAACTGTGGTTTAAATCAGGACACACAGGTACAATGTACACTTCAACTTTGAAGTGAAGTTGATCTGGGAAGAAGGGAGGAGTGGAGGGAAGGTGTTTTTAGATTTGTTATTATTTCTCAGTATCCTGCTCTGTTTAATTGGCAATAAATTAAATTAATTTCTCCAAGTTGAGTCTGTTTTGCCCATGATGGTAATTGCTGTATGATCTCCCTGTCCTTATCTCAATCCATGAACTTTTCATCATATTTCCTCCCTCTGTCCTGTGGAGGAGGGGGAGTGAGAGTACGGCTGGGTAGGCACCTAGCAGCTAGCCACGGTCGACACACCACACCTTAGTATATTGCAATTTAATTAATTGCGGATTTTATATTGCTTTCTTCAGAACTATGATATAGAATCTCTGCAAAAGGGATGAAAAAAAACCATGTTTTTAGCAAAATGAAATAATGGAGGTATTTCTGTGCGATACAATGTAGACACAGCATTTAAAATACTGGACACAGCAAGAACAAGGTTTTTTTCTTCTTGAAATTGATTACCTTGATTACGAGCTATGCTCTCAAGTAAAAAATTAATAGTTCTAGGAAAAGGTGCAGCTATAAAAGTCACTGTTTGAAGGGGCCTGCAATTTAGTATGAAATAAATGGGTAGGTAGCAGAAGGCCTCGCCAGTGGCCCTTCTTTAGTCTCTGTGGCTCTGTAGGGTGGCCGTGGGCCACAGGGTGTTGCTGTCCAACCAGCTGTGTAAACATCCTTGTCCTCAGCCTGGATTTGTTACTTACCCAGTCAGACAGACCAGGACAAGGTCTAGGGAGTTAAACTAACATGCATTAACTACTTCTGCTCCTTTATGCCTCATTATCTCCACAAAACCTAGTGGCTTTAACTCAATGACATCTCCTTTCTCCTATCCTCTCAATAGCAATACAACTAGAAAGTTGCAGAGTGGCTGCGAGCAGTTCCATGTATTACATCAGAGGTAAATGACTTAATAAATTAATTTGATAATTTAAAAAAGAAAAATCCTACAGCCTTATTTAAACTTATATGTGAATTTCCTGTTAGTAGAAGATGATCTTGAGGTTTGATTAGACCTTTAGGTTAATGAAGACCCATGTTAGCAAAGAGGGATGAAATACCTACTGACTTTCCTGATGTTTCCACTTTGATCCGGTGACAATTTTGCCAGTTCGTCTTCTGTAACTGAAGTTTTAGAGTCATTGATGAGGGCTGTTACAAGGTTGTGATTGAGGCCTGACATGGCAATAAACAGGATATATGAACTTACAAAGAAGAAAATATGAGCTTAAATCTAAGTATAAAAAACCCTTTATTACTTTGCGAGCAAATGAACGCTATGTCAGAATACTTCTTGCACTGCTGAATTGGACTGAACTCAAACTGGTGGCCAGCAGATCAGAATAAGATGAAGGACTCCATAAAGCTCATTAGTGATATCTTGAGATGTGTAGTCCCATCCAGTTTCTTTGAGGTTTAAGGTGCCATAACTTTGCCAGTTGGGAACTTAATCAAGTATGTGAAGCAATGCTACATCATTATATTAACTGCAAAATAGAAAATGTCAGACATGAGAATTTCTGTAGCTATCTACCTGGACTTCAGACTTTGTGGTCTACCTGGACTTCAGTAAGGCCTTTGACACCGTCTCCCACAGCATTCTCCTCGAGAAGCTGGCGGCTCATGGCTCAGACAGGTGGACTCTGCGCTGGGTCAAAAACTGGCTGGACGGCCGGGCCCAGAGAGTTGTGGTGAATGGAGTTCAATCCAGTTGGCGGCCGGTCACGAGCGGTGTTCCCCAGGGCTCAGTATTGGGGCCGGTCTTGTTCAATATCTTTATCAATGATCTGGATGAGGGGATGGAGTGCACCCTCAGGAAGTTTGCAGACGACACCAAGTTGGGCGGCAGTGTTGATCTGCTGGAGGGTAGGAAGGCTCTGCAGAGGGACCTGGACAGGCTGGATCGATGGGCCGAGGCCAACTGTATGAGATTCAACAAGGCCAAGTGCCGGGTCCTGCACTTCGGCCACAACAACCCCATGCAGCGCTACAGGCTTGGGGAAGAGTGGCTGGAAAGCTGCCTGGCGGAAAAGGACCTGGGGGTGTTGGTCGACAGCCGGCTGAACATGAGCCGACAGTGTGCCCAGGCGGCCAAGAAGGCCAACGGCATCCTGGCCTGTATCAGAAATAGTGTGGCCAGCAGGAGCAGGGAAGTGATAGTGCCCCTGTACTCAGCACTGGTGCGGCCGCACCTCGAATACTGTGTTCAGTTTTGGGCCCCTCACTACAAGAAGGATGTTGAGATGTTGGAACGTGTCCAGAGAAGGGCAACGAGGCTGGTGAGGGGTCTGGAGAACAAGCCTTATGAGGAGCGGCTGAGGGAGCTGGGGTTGTTTAGCCTGGAGAAAAGGAGGCTGAGGGGAGACCTCATTGCTCTCTACAACTACCTGGAGGTATTTAAAAGACGTGTAGATGTGGTGCTTAGGGACATGGTTTAGTGGTGGACTTGGCAGTGCTAGGTTAACGGTTGGACTTGATGATCTTAAAGGTCTTTTCCAACCTAAACGATTCTATGATTCTATGAATCACGGGAACAGGCAGCTTCCATAGCCAACAGAAAACATGCTTTCAGCCCAAAATGTGTTAGGCAAACTAGTTGATGAATATGCAGGAGGAGGACAAAAGTGTCATACAAAGGATAGATGAAAGATACATGCCTGAGGAAAAGGGATTTCATGTATGATTGCACAGCCAAAGAAAGGGGTCAGGAGCAGCCAGAGTCGCAGAAATCTCACTTCTGGATTATACAAAAGCCACTTTGCTTCTTGGGCAGGCACACAAGTGCTTCTGGCTGCTCTGACGTAAGGACACGTCAAAGCGGGTACAGAACAAGCACACAACCTGACGGACCGCCTGGCGGCGAAGGCCCGGGGGAGGGGAGCCGGCCCACAGCAGCACCCGGAG